GATCCTATTATTGAACTTGATAAAACAAAAAAATACAAAATGGGATTTATAAGATTAGAAACTATTCACTACAGCGTTTCATCTCAAAAAAAGTGTTTGCATATATTAAATAATATTGTAGATGGAAAAAATATAAATGGTAAGAAAACTACTGTAATGCATACATTCTTACCAATAACTCGTCCTTCAGGTATGAGCCTTGTTGAAGTACCAAATTTTAAAAGTTATTTTCCATTAAAAACAAAAACACTTTCAAAAATGACAGTTGAAATAGTGGATGATGATCTTCATGTTATGGGTATGAGTAAAGAAAGATTAATAATACAATTTCATCTTAGAGGAATAAAGCAGTAAAGTTAATTAATTTTTTTATATTTGAAAACGATATAGATCCCAAAGGGATCCAGATTCATTATAATGAATTAAAAAAATAATATATATATATATACATATATATATATAAAATAGATATATGTATTGGAGGAGTTACTTCAACAATAAGAAGAAAGTTTTTACCAGCTATTCCACTTGATGGAAAAAAAAGAGAATGAAATGAAATTAATAAGCTTAGAAACATATCATTTACTTAATAATATTACTGAAAACAACAATAAATTTACTTATATTATTTATGATGCAGCTACTAAAAAACCATTAACAGCTGATCGTAATATTCCAACAGGGGTCTATGAACTTACTTTCAATTAATGACTGGATGGAAAAGAATTAGTTGCTCCTCAACTTCCTATGAATTCAATTACTTTCGTAGGAAATACAACAACATTTAAACTTACAATGACTATTGCAACAAATTTTGCAGTTGATTTTACAATTAACAATTCAATCAGAAATCTTTTAGGTTTTGAAAGTAAATTATATACTGCAGGTGCTTATGAATCTGTAAAAGTATTAGATATAAATCATATTAATACTATACATATAAAAAATAGTATTATATCAGGATCTTATTTAGATAGTTCACCTAGCAATACTATTTATACATTTTATCCCTCTGTAGCTCCTGGAGCTAAACTTGTAGAAAAACCAAATGTCCCCATTTACTTACCTATATCTATAAGAGGAGATATTCGTGATATGGAAACTTCGTTAATTGATCAAGATAAAAATCTAATTGATGTGCAAGGAGAAAAAATAACAATGAAATTTCATATAAGAGAACGAACTTCTAAATGTGAGCAAGAATCTATTCTAAGAGAACAAGTAGCACTTCTAAAAGAATTGATAAACATTTAAAAAAATAAAAAATAAATTTTAAAAAAATGTGCGTATATAAAAAATGACAGATTATCAAAATATTAAAGTTAAGCTTTCAGAATATCAAAAGAATAAAATCAAGAAAGAACTGAAAAATAGTTAAAAAAAAATTACTTTAAAATTAACTTTTAAAAATCTAAATAATAAAAATGTTAACGATGTAATAGCTCTAACACATAAACAATTAGAAGAAGTAGTCAATGCATTTAAAAATAGAAAAGGTATAACACTTGAATTAAATGAAGAAAATCTCATTCATAATTCTAAAGTGGAAGGTGGATTTCTACCTTTACTAGGATTAGTTGGAAGTTTTTTAGCTGCAAAAATTGTTCCAGCACTTGCAGCAGGAGTATTGACAGGAGTAGGCGCAGCTGCTGGAAGCACCATAGTAAATAAAATTGCTGGTAATGGTATTTTGTATGTGAAAGATGATAAAATTTCTATTAAAGTAAGCAAAGTAGGAAAAGGATTATTAACAAATGAATGGAAAAAAGGAAGATATTTAGGAAACGGATATTACTACTATTATGGAAAAGGAACTGGAAACAATAAACAATATGAAAAAGTAGGAAAAGGTTTGATATTCGGTGAAAACTTGCAATTTAAGAATATTCCAGTATTAGGTTGGATTCTGTAGGTAACAAATGAATCTAGATATAAATATATATTTATGTAAATATATATTTCATTTACTATTTAATACAGATAAAGGAAAATAAAAACAATCAAAGCCACTTCTATATTTTCCATTCTTCACATCTGATGATAAATCAATAACAACAAATTTATGAGGTTGCGACCAAACTATTTTACAAAAATTTTTAAACTCTTCTTTTGACATTTCATTTGAAACATGATCATTATAAATATGATTTACATTTTTTGAATCTTGTTTAAACAAGCATATAAAATTTGCTTTTTCTCTTATTGTTTTCCTTGGTAGCATAAAATAATTTTGTGCTAAATAGAAACAATCTACATTACTATGCCTTCCTCTTATATAGTACTTTTCACACTTATTTTGCTTTGTTAATTGTAAATCATCCAATATCATTAAATTATTTTTAGTAAGATCGAGATCTTCAGGTTCTGGTACATCATCTGCTGTTTCATAAAACTGACACTCCATATCTATTTTATTTTTTAAATTTTTTGAATGAACTTCAATTACAAGATCAGGGCTGATATCCATCTTATCTATTTTATCTTGCAACTTAAATATTTTAAGAATATCTTTTTTTGGTACTTTTTTTTCAAAAGAACTTTTTAATATTTTGTATTTAGGTTGAAAATGAGATTTTCCAAAAACTTGTAAATTATTATAGTCTAACCAATCAGGTCTTATAAGTAAATTCAATAATAAATTTGTTTTTCCACAACCAGACTTCCCAACTATAAGTCCTCTTATACTTCTTGGTAATAACTCATTATGACGATTATTTTTATTTACATTATATGACAAATCTAATACTTCCATTTTCTTATATAAAGAATTTTTTATATCGTTTTATTAAAATGCGATAAAAAAATAGTAAGTATATAAAAATGTACTGCCTTAAATGTAAAAGTAAAACAGATACACTAAACTTACAACATGCTGTAAGTAAAAATAATAGAAATATGTTACGTGGAAATATGTTACGTGTTCTATCTGCAGAGCAGCGAAAACCCAATTTACAAAAGGAACTAGCAGAGGCAATTTAGTTGATTCACTAAATTCACTTACAAAGAATATAAAGTTTCCTGTGCAAAAGTTCCCAGGTGAAATGCATTTACCAGGTGCGAATTTAGATGAAAGATTAACTTCTACTGAAATGCCTAAAGAATGGAGCATGTCTGTAGATAGAGTTGATAAAGCAGCTTATATTCATGATCTTGCTTATAAACATTTTCCAGATAAAGAACATAGAAATATCGCTGATAAAATGATGGTTGAGCAAATAAATGCTATACCTAATCCTACAATGTGTGAAAATTTAGAACGAAAAATTATAAAACCTATCATATCTGCTAAAGCAAAGTTTGGTATGGGAATTAAAGAACCAATAAGTATTAAAGAATTATGTCAAAAAAACTACAAGCGATCAACAAAAAAAAGCAAAAACTTGAAATGGACTGATGAACTTGCAAACAAACTTCATAAACCTGTTATAAAACATTTTAGAAAAAGAAAAGTGATTGCAAATGGAATCGATGATATATGGGCTGCTGATTTAGTTGACATGCAAGCTTTTTCCAAGTTCAATAACGGTATAAAATACTTGTTAATGGTGATAGATGTGTTTTCAAAGTATGGATGGATTGTTCTGTTGAAAAATAAGACAGGAATTGAAGTTGCTAATGCATACCTAATCTTTTGATCAAGTAATTACACTGGATTAGTACACATCTTTAAAAAATTGAATGTATATGAATATTAATATTCATCAAATTTTCTGAATTTTCAAAATTTCTGTATATCTGTTGGTTGAAAAAGTTGCATTAATTGTCACAAAAGAAGTAACCAGTTTTAAATTAAATATAGGCAACAGCATTTTCTGCTAAGTTACAAATAAAGCTTCCATGATGGTTAAGTTAGAAAAGCTGGTTCCAACATCAAATGTGTTACACCCATGAACATAGATGAGTTTTTTTCCAGGAGTTCCCAGAATTCAGGAAATTCACTTAAAACTCCTTTAGCTTTCCAGAAATTTCCGGATGTTTTTTGTTATTAATTTGAAAAAATTTTTTTATATTTTTACATAAAATTTTAAATATGACAACTCTTGCATTAAACAAATATGTTTTCTATAATTAAAGTTTTCACGAATTTCAATTGTTGTGACAATTGTTTTCTTTTTTTTTTGTTGCTTTTTAATTCATTCAAATTAACTTTTTCGAATATTAGAAATTCCTTTTTGTAAAAAGTTAAATAATCTAAGTTCTGTTTCAAAAGTTAAAGAAGAATTCAAGGAAGCAATTCCGCATTTGACCAAAAAATTATGTCACAATTCAAATGATGAGTTCAATGAATTTAAATTTGAATTTTAATCCAAACAAAGCTTTGTTGCGTACTGCTAAAAATTTTTCAAATGCTTTGATATTCCTATATTGATGAATGACAACCCTCTTAATGAGTCCTCTACTTTTTATCTACTTCAGTTGGTTCTAATAACAATGTCTTTTATCTTTTAGAAAAGGTTTAAAATAGAATTGTAAGTTGCTTGAATTTCCAAGCTTAAGTCTCTGTCCCATTGTATCATGTCATGAAGTTGGTCATTTCTACATATACCATGGTTACTGTTTAAGTGAGCTTTTATCTCTTATTCAAGAAATTAAAACTTGATCACCTTTAACTCATTATTCAGTTGATTGAAACCTTGAACAGTGGTTGCTTGCATTCTTATTGGCAGATTTTTTTTGTTAATATGGTGTAAGGATAGCCACATAGCAACAATAGAATTTTCTGTAATGTTAAAATGTTTGAAAGAAGAATCATGATAGCTACCATAAAGCTTTCAGAAATATTCCTCTCAAATAACTTCTTCCCTACTAGTGTTTGTAGCTGCAGTATGCAACATACTCAGAATACACTTAATCAAAAACTTTAAAATATTCTAATATTTTCAATAATTTTATAATTATAGTTATGAAAAAAAAAGAATTTGCAATAATTTAATAAATTAATTCTTAGTTAATAAATTTTTTATAGTTCTTTTAATGATGATAACATATTAATATTTTAG